CTGGCCACCCTTACCCTGCAGACTGAACCTAGGAACCGAGTGTTCAACTTCACGTTATTGTCATTAAAGGCCTGTGACAAAGGTGCATCTATTGGAGCGACATCGTCTCTGGCTTACACATTTACCGGGTCTCCATTTCACTTTGTATTGTCTCGGAGGAAGTCCACCGACACCTCCACTTCCACAAACTGCTGGGAGTTGCCTCGCTCTGCCTCAGTCAGAATTCTCCTCCTGCTTCACGTTGCCTCCATCCATGTGAAGGTCACATTCTGGACTTGAATCTTCATCTTCACACTTTACCTTCACTTCTTTACTCTTCACCATCACTTCTTCACATTCCACCTTCACCTCTTCATATTTCACCTCGTTACCTTTAAAAGTGTCCAAGCTGGGATTTTCTTCCGGTTCTTGTTTGATGAGGGATGGGCTCATTGCAGCACTTTGACTTTCACAAGCTGATTTCACACTCCAGTCCTTGTGGATCTTCTGATGCTTGTGTCTTCTCTGGTGTACTTGAAGATTGGAAGAATCTGAAAACGCCTTCCTGCACAGAATGCACTTGAAGGGTTTCTCTCCCGTGTGTGTTCTCTGGTGTCTTTTAAGATCTGATGACCGTGAAAGTGCCTTCCCACACACAGTGCACTTGAAGGGTTTCTCTCCCGTGTGTGTTCTCTGGTGTTTTATAAGAGAAGATGACTGTGAAAATGCCTTCCCACACACAGTGCACTTGAAGGGTTTCTCTCCCGTGTGTGTTCTTTGGTGTGTTACAAGAGTAGATGAATGTGCAAATGCCTTCCCACACACACTGCACTTGAAGGGTTTCTCTCCCGTGTGTGTTCTCTGGTGTCTTACGAGATGATGTAAAAAAGAAAACGCCTTCCCGCACAGAGTACACTTGAAAGGTTTCTCTCCTGTGTGTGTTCTCTGGTGTCTTTTAAGAACAGATGACCGTGAAAGTGCCTTCCCACACACAATGCACTTGAAGGGTTTCTCTCCCGTGTGTATTCTCTGGTGTTTTTTAAGAGAAGATGACTGTGCAAATGCCTTCCCGCACAGAGTACACTTGAAAGGTTTCTCTCCTATGTGTGTTCTCTGGTGTCTTTTAAGATTATTTGACTGTGAAAATGCCACCCCACACACACTACACTTGAAGGGTTTCTCTCCCGTGTGTGCTCTCTGGTGTCTTTTAAGATAATATGACCGTGAAAATGCCTTCCCACACACACTGCACTTGAAGGGTTTCTCTCCTGCGTGAGCTCTCTGGTGCTGTGTCAAATTTCCAGTCCGCTCCGTGCTGTATCCACGCCGGTCGCATTGTTGCCTTGCCGTACTGAGCTGTGCTGAGCGCCTTTGCTCCATCAGACCAAGCGACAGCTGCAGACAGAAAAAAATTATATCCACACCACCTACACGTCAGACACAGAGTAATGCATATACACAGTCACACGTGACTTACACGTCTATACTTATTCATATATTCATGATGTAGTGAAAAAGTTTCCCAAATTCATCACAGAGGCTGTTATTGCACACAATGAGAGGGCAAATGGTCATAAAAATGCCTGGAAGCCCTCGTATCTCCGTGGTGAGATGTTAACTACCTCACCTGGTATACAGAAAGTCGTGGGTTCGATCCAGACCCTGACGCCTGCTGCTGTATATTTGGAGTTTGCGTGTCTCTCTCTCTCCGTGGTGAGATGTTAACTACCTCGCCTGGTATACAGGAAGTCGTGGGTTCGATCCCGACCCTGACGCCTGCTGCTGCTGTATATTTGGAGTTTGCGTGTCTCTCTCTCTCCGTGGTCGCGTGGATTTTCCTCCGAATCTCCCGGGTTTCCCCTCCACATTTAGAGTCAACATCAGCACGCGTGCAGCGTCTTTAACCGATACACATTTCCACACGTATTCTTGGTTCTTTCGGTAAAGTCACGTAGATAGACAATAACAACAGATAATAAAATCAAACAAAGGCAACGTGTGTTGCGATCGAAACGTCGTGGGGTTTTATTTATTTATTTACAATTTGTTTACTTTTAGTAATTTTATTATCTGTTATTTTTACTAAATTTTCTATCTCCGTGACTTCACCAAAAGAACCAAGAATATGAATTGCTGCAGTTACGAAAGTTTAAAGTCAAAACATTGACACACGCGTTGACAAAACCCACCTTGTGTCGTGGGCAGGTAGCTTCTATAAACAAGAGCGGTACAGCAGCTCAGGCGGGCTTGGGCTGGAAAAAAACGAAAAAAAAAACTGCGTTAATATCTACAATAAACCAAAGTGACAAAGTAGCGAGCCGCGTGAAGACAAATTAAACTTAAGGGAGGGAATTAAAGCAAACGCGACCAGGCGAGGGCAGGAGGCAAGGCCCCGCGTGTCTAGGCCCCGCGTTGTAAAGTTCCAACTTGGACATCGATTCACAAGCTGCTGCTGCTCTAGTGACATCCCTACGAGAGAGAGAGCGAGGCTCTAGCTTGGTAAACAACAACAACAACCACAACAACAACCACAACGATGAGAATTTCTCACCTCGGATTTCACTGCACGCGCGAAGCTGCAGCTTGTGACGTCACGCGGCAGCAGATGACATGACGTCACTTCTGTGGTACAAGCAATTCCCCTCCCACAACGAGTGACGTCATTAATATATTATGTTAATGTTTCGCAGTGGGTAGCGCCCTCGATTCCCATGCGAAAGGTCGCGGGTTCGATCCCCGCGTCCTCCACAGGCGAATATATTTTTTACATTTATTCAAATAGAAAACGTTACACATTTGGTGAGTCCATTGAGCAAGGCACTGACCGCTTGATTGGGATTTGCTGTTTATTAAAAGAAACATTGTTGATCGTAATTTTACTTTTACATGGTTCGTATTTTTATTATATAACGTAATAAAATAATTATTTTATGTTTTATATTGTTAAAAAAATAATAAAATAAAAATTTGCCCATGAGCAAAAAATAATTATTTTATTATATTTTTAAATAAAAATAATAAAATAAAATTTTAATGTGTTTAAAAAATGTATTACTTTATTATGTTTTATTATTTTATTATTTCCATTCTACGTGACTTTACCGAAAGAACCAAGAAGATGACACACACAGCTTGCACGATACCAACGACACTAGGACCCTCTCGATGCTACGGAGAGATCGGCGCACCTGGTAGCGTGAGCACGCCACTATGTGTGTTGAATTCTCCGATGTTTTGGTAGCCGGATCAATCCCCGCATCCTCCACGAGGAATATTTTTTTAAATCAAATTTTAAATGTAACATCCATCGTTATTGTTGGTGACATGTTCACATTGGTGAACCAGCTTGACCTCTTGTCGCCCTCGATTTTGCTGTTTTGAAGTCCCTTTAAGGCGAATGAGATGTGACGAGAAATATTTTTTTTTAATAAAAATCTCATCGCGCCTGGCAGGAGTCGAACCTTCTAATCCGCAGGCAGCCGCGTTAACATTACACCACAGAGCCCACGTGATCATGATGGGGATATCCGTTTGGTGAAATTTGTACATATCATGCTCATTGTGTTACACATCTCAAATGCACGTCCAGTACAAGGATAGACGGTGTGAAATGTCTTGCTAACAACACAGAACTCGCTAACACACACGACTGGCACGCTAGTAACTACACTTGAGCCCTCTCGATGCCAAGGAGAGTTTAGTGTCGTTGGTAGCGTGAGCACGCCACTACAACACTAAACTCTTCGATGTTTAGGTCGCCGGATCGATCCCCGCATCCTTCCCGGAGAATATTTTTTTTAAATAAAATTTTAAATGTAACGCGCCAGCGTTATTGTTGGTGACATGTTCACATTGGTGAACCAGCTTGACCTCTCGTCGCCCTCGATTTTTGATGCGGATTTGCAGTTTACTAAACCCGCATCTTAGTTGATGTAAAAGTGCGGCGCGAGTTGCTCGCTGCGCTGAAGACTCCCGCCTCTGGGCGGCAGGCGGCGCTCGTGAGAACGCGAGAGGCGCCAGCTGAGAGCTGCACCCCGAGGAAGCCTCTTGGCGGCTTGTTGTTGTTGTCGCACTGAAACACGTTCATTAGCTTCAGCGCAATCGCTTCTCTGCTCGTGAATGTAAAAACGGAGTTTCCTTTTTGAAAAATGTTGTTTGCGTGGAGGATGCGGGGATCGAACCCGCGACCTCCCGCGCGCTGAACGAGCAGCGCCCCCATCTCAGCTGCTGCCCCAGACACGAGGAGTGGAGCGAGATTTCGGTAAAATCACGTGGAAAGAAAATAGATTTGATGATAAAAAAAATTATTAAACTCTTTAATTCCTGCAGTAATCAAGCTACCTGGGGTAGCTTTGTCTGTGTGTGGTGTGTGTAGTACATAGACACTGCTGCTGCTACTCGCTACGAACGGCACTTGCCCCTACAGCCTGCTAGAGGCTACCTGAGGGAGCTTTGTCTGTGCGTGGTGTGTGTAGTACATAGACCTCCTCCTCATGCACCTAGCCTGGCACAGCAGTACAACCCACGGCACCTGAAGGGTCTGTCCCGTGACCACCTCATGCACCTAGCCTGGCACAGCAGTACAACCCATGGCACCTGCAGGGTCTGTCCCGTGACCTCCTCCTCATGCACCTAGCCTGGCACAGCAGTACGACCCACGGCACCTGCAGGGTCTGTCCCGTGACCTGCTCCTCATGCACCTAGCCTGACGTCACTACTCCCGAGGCGAGTGTGACATGACGTCACTGCTCCCGAGGCGAGTGTGACATGACGTCATCACTCTACCCCTCAACACGTGTTAGCCACGTGCGCTGAACCTGCTTCGCAGCGTACAGGAGCCGAGGGCCAATGACGAGCACACACCCGTGTGTCTCTCTCTCTCTCCGTGTCTCTCTCCGTGTCTCTCCCCGTGTCTCTCTCCGTGTCTCTCTCTCTCCGTGTCTCTCTCCGTGTCTCTCCCCGTGTCTCTCTCCGTGTCTCTCTCCGTGTCTCTTCCACCACCACCAGCACCACCACAGGGTTCTCCTTGGGAGAGGACAGAGCGAGGTCGCGCTCTGGGTTCACGATGGCTGGCTGGAGGCAGCTTCAAGTCCAGCTGCTGCTGCTGATGCTGATGGACGTGAGCGGACGGCCTCACCCATCACGTACGAGCCTCTGTCTTGTTTTACAAACCACTCACTCTTGTTATTTTAGTTCACCAGGTAAGGCGCCCACTGAGATTTCGAGGGGGGTCGGGAGGAGTTGGTTGGGGGGGGGCCCTTTGTGCTGCACTGCCAAGGCATCGCATTCACACACAGATACAGTCTATAATGTAGACTGTCTACACACATACAGTCTATAACGTAGACTGTACACACAGATACAGTCTTTAATGCAGACTGTCTACACACAGATATAGTCTATAATGTAGACTATCCACACACATATACAGTATAAAATGTAGACTGTTTAGACACAGATGCAGTCCATAATGTAGACTGTCCACACACACAAACAGTCTATAATGTAGACTGTCTATACACAGATAGAGTCTATAATGTAGACTGTGCACGCAAAAATAGTCTATAATTTAGACTGTGTACACAGATACAGTCTATAATGTAGACTGTGAACAGGCACAGTCTATAATGTAGATTGTGTGTACACAGATACAGTCTATAATGTAGACTGTGTACGCATATACAGTCTATAATGTAGACCGTGCACACACATACAGTCTATAATGTAGACTGTGCACGCACTGATGCAGTTTATAATGTAGACTTGCACACACAGATACAGTCTATATTGTAGACTGTCTATACACAGATACAGTCTATAATGTAGACTGCACACACAGATACAGTATATGATGTAAACTGTGTACACACATACAGTTTACAATGTAGACTGTGTACACACATATACAGTCTATAATGTAGACTGTCCACACACAGATACAGTCTATAATGTGGACTGTGTTAACACAGATACAGTCTATAATGTTGACTGTGCGCACACAGATACAGTCTATAATGTAGACTGTGTACACACAGATGCTGTCTATAATGTAGACTGTGTACACACAGGTACAGTCTATAATGTAGACTATACACACATTGTGTGATGGCTGCGGTGCTATGAAAATGTCTCGATAATTTGCATCGCAAAGTCGAAGCACACCCGAGTTGCCGACGGGCGGTCAACGTTTGGCGAGATGGCATTTTGTAGGCAGCAATGGTTATCGATCTGTGTGTGAGTGTGGGGAGTGGTGGTGCAGTGGTTAGCGCGATCTGTGTGTGAGTGTGGGGAGTGGTGGTGCAGTGGTTAGCGCGATCTGTGTGTGAGTGTGGGGAGTGGTGGTGCAGTGGTTAGCACACTGTGTGTGTGTGTGGGGGGGAGTGGTGGTGTAGTGGTTAGCGATCTGTGGGTGGGTGGTTGGGTGAGTAGGTGAGTGGGTGAGTAGGTGAGTGGGTGGTTGGGTGAGTAGGTGAGTGGGTGAGTGGGTGAGTAGGTGAGTGGGTGAGTGGGTGAGTGGGTGAGTGTCTCTCTCCCCGTGTGTCTCCCAAGCAGCTCCTCCCATCTCTGTGTGGATCACGGCAGAAATCGAGCGAAACCTTGTCGTTTTTATCTGCACGGTGTCGAGAAATCCGGAGGATGCCGAGATAGAGTTTAGCAACCCTCACGGGAAGACATACTACTTCCAGAACCACCGAGGTGAGCGGCAAGCACTGTCTCTGTCCCTCTGTCTCTCTCTCTGTCTCTGTCGCTGTGTCTCTCTCTCTCTTTGTCTCTCTATCCCGACGTCTCTCTCTCTCTGTCCCTCTGTCTTTCTGTCTGTGTTTGTCTCCCTCTCTCTCTCTATATCCCCATGTCTCTCTCTGTCTCCCCGTGTCTCCCCGTGTCCCCCCGTGTCCCAGCCTACGATGACCCGCGTGTCTACATTATAAGATGGAGCTACACCGCTGCGGACCTCCTCCTCTCCCAACCCACCCCACGGGACCAGGGGCACTACAGCTGCTCCCTCTCCAGCCCAGACAGCCCCAGGGCCAGCGTCTGGCTCGCCGTCAGCGGTGAGAGACGCTCACCTCACCTCTCTCTACCTCAGACACACACACACAGACACACACACACAAAGACACACACACAGACACACACACAGACACAAAGACACACAAAGACACACACACAAAGACACACACACAAAGACACACACACACACAAAGACACACACACACACAAAGACACACACAACAACAACCGCCATTCGCCACTAAGTGGCGGTGACGTCACCACGACGTTTGTGCCAGGCCAAGTGCACCTTGAGGCCACGTGAAGTGTCAAACGCCCGCTGGCAGGAGGTCACGGGGCAGACCCAGCAGGTGCCACGGGTCGACTGACCGAGATGACCGAGATGACTGGCTGATGCACCACCTGTGCCCCCTACTGTACCAACTTGCTGTGCTTTAGCCACCCGGCGCTCCGCTCGTTGTTGTGAGCGTCGCTCCTCCGCCCTCCGTTGTTGTTGGAGGGCGACTGCCTCCAACTGCCCAGTAGCGTCCTTCACGAGCCTCCTCCACTGAGGCCGATCTTGACACCGCTGGTACCAGTCATCGGCAAGTCCACTCAGCTCCACGTCCTCCTGTACCACATCACTCCATCTCTTCTCTAGCCCGTGCCGCGCCCTTTTAGCCCCCTCGATCCGGCCGAACAAAAGCTGTTTAGGCATGCGGTAGCTGGGCATGCGGGCTACATGACCCAGCCAACGCAGCCTTGCCTGCCGGAGGAGCTCACCGATGGGACTTTGCCCAGATCTTTCAAGGATTTGTGAGCTCCTCACACAATCCAGCCTGGTTAAACCCAGGATGGATCGTAGGCAGGCCAGCCTAAATGTTTCCAACCGGCGAAGATGCTCCATTAGGGGGGTCCACGTTTCACAAGCGTAGAGAAGGGAGGGAATTTAACACGTAGGCTTTCGCGACCAATGTTATTCATAATCAACGTTTTTGGGTTTAGATCGCGTTATTTATAAATGTGTCGTAACCCTCCACCACCCGACACGGCCAATCAGTAAAAATGTGTCACGTTGACAAAAGACAAATAGTTCACTGCTTTAGCCCACCGGTGTGTTGAAGCCACAACATTTACAATTTGAGTACGACGTTTCACTGGTAATTGCATCCAGCATCATCGGGCAATAACGCGATCTAAACCCAAAAACGTTGATTATGAAGGGAGGGAATGACCGTGGCCGAGAAGACCTGAAGCTTCATGCGGAGCGACAGACCAGGTAGCTTCCACACAGCGTTACGCAACCGATGAAAAGATATTGCCGCTCGACTGATTCGGAGTGAGACCTCTGCTGATAAACTGGAGCCGGTCATAAGCACACTGCCCAGGTATGGGAAACTCTCCACTCTCTCCACAACTGCCCCATCACCGATTGGGAGTTGTGGGGGTTGAGTGTCCGATGGTACAAAATACCCAGGCAGGTGCTTAGTTTTGGTGGGGCTGATGGTAAGGCCCCACCTCTTAGTGGCACGCTCCAGTCTCAGCAGCAGCGTCTCCAACTCCTCTTCTGAATGAGCAGCTATTACCAAATCATCGGCATACATAACGTGGTTGACCAATAGGGAGCCATCCCTTGATCGCACCCGGGCGTCGATCAGCCTCCCATTATATCTGTACCAAATGGAAATTCCCCCGGTACAGCTATTGAAGGCTTCACGAACTACGCAGTCGAAATAGATGTTAAATAATGTGGGAGCCAGAGGACATCCCTGTCGCACCCCAAGGTGTACAGGGAAAGGCTCCGACTCCCGGCCACGTAGTTTTACCCGGGCCCGCTCACCATCATGAAGGTCCTTAATGATCGTGAGCAGAGGGTCAGGGACTCCGAAAGCATGAAGAACAACCCAGAGCCCAGGCCTACTGATGGTATCATAGGCCTTGACCAGGTCAATAAAGCAGAGATGTAGGTCTTGTTGGAATTACCTACACCTCTGCTGTAGCAGACGGACAGAAAATATGGCATCTGTACAGGACCGCCCTTTCCTGGAACCGCATTGGGGTTCCGCAAGCCTCTACTCAGCGTGCCTAGCAAGGCGATGTTGAATAATCCTTGCCAGGACCTTTCCCGGCACACTGAGGAGTGAGATGCCCCTGTAGTTGTTACAGTCTGTGCGGTCCCCCTTCTTAAAGAGGGGGACCACCAGGGCATCCTTCCAATCCTGCGGTACCCGTCCAGCGGTTCAGACTGTTGTTATGATGTCATATAGGGCAGTCTGTGCACAAGCGCCACCCTCCCTCAGCATTTCGCTTGGGAGATCATCTCTGCCCGGTGCCTTTCCTGGTCTCAGACTCCGGATCGCCTTCAGTACTTCCTCAACAGCTGGCACCTCAGCCAGCCACTCACAGGGGGTGACCTCCTCCAATATTTGAGGCACCGAAGCCTCAGCAGGGTAATCCCCACTTTGTGCCATGATGTTTTCCTGGCTGAGAGATTTTCCCTCCCCCAGGACCTCACAGAAATGCTCAGCAAATTTGCAAACCTGTTCCTGGGGGTCGGAGATTGGATCACCGTTTTTTCCCCTAATGATGGTAATAGGTGTGGCGCTGCAGGTTACTTTTTTGATGGAGTTAAATAGTGATTTGTGATCGCGGGCCACTGAGGCAGATTCCATCTCCTCAGCAACCCGCGACCACCACCCATCCTTGCAGCGCCTCACGGCTCTCCGAACCTCCGAGCGAAGGCTGCGGTACACCTCCTCATTCTCTGACGTGGGATGCTGTAGCCGATGAGAGTGGGCCTGTCGCTTTTTCTCAACTATCCTGAACATCTCCTCTGTCAGCCAGGGTTTCTGGGGAGGTCTGGACCGCGTACCCAAAGCAGCCATTGCAGCTGCATGAGTCACAGTCTTAAACCTCGCCCATTTATCCTCGACATCAGGTGGAGTGGGGGACGATGCCAACCCCAGCTGCAAGCGATGATGAAATTCTCTCCTGCAACTTTCATCAGCTGAGACCAGGCCACTTTTGGTTGGAATGGGATCCTGGGTGTACACCCACCACCGGAGTGGAAGAATGGCAGGCGCATCTTACAGATGACTAGTCGATGGTCAGAGGGCAGATCAGCTCCACGGTAGGTCCTGGTGTCAAGGACATGGGCTCGCATCCGCTGGTCCGTCACTATGTAGTCCAGCAGATGTTCTTGCTTGGATCCGGCATGGCGTCTGTGACCACCATGGTGTCTGTGACCACCACAGTGGCTAAACAGGGGCTCTGGACGGGTGCGAAGGGCTGGTAACCCCTCCACCTTCAATGAATTACCACGAAACCACGAATTAAACATAAACAAGACACACACACACACAAAGACACACACACACAAAGATACACACACACAGACACACAGAGACACACACACAGATGGACACAGACACACATTTTAAAAGACACACACAAAGACACGCTGGGACACACAGACAACAACCGCCATTCGCCACTAATTTCCCGTCTCTTCCTGCTCTCGCAGCCAAAACCACCACCACCGCTGCCACAACCACCACCCCCCCCACCACCACCCCCCCCACCACCACCCTGCCCACCTCCCTGCCCACCTCCCCACGCCCGCCCGCGGTGTCTGCGGGCGGCAAGGCGACGCTCTCCGCCAGCGGCGTGAGCTCCTCCTCCTCCTCCTGCCGCCTGCGCTCGCTGGCGCCCTTCCTCCTCCTGGCGAACGCAGCCGCCAGCGCTCCGTGCACCCCACGCGGCGGGGAAGATGGAGCGGCACGAAGAGGTGGAGGAGGTGAGGAGGTGGAGGTGGAGGAGGTGAGGAGGAGGTGTTAGTGGAGGAGGTGGAGGAGGAGGTGAGGAGGTGGAGGAGGAGGTGAGGAGGAGGTGTTAGTGGAGGAGGTGGAGGAGGTGGAGTAGGTGGAGGAGGTGGAGGAGGAGGTGGAGGAGGAGGTGGAGGAGGAGGTGAGGAGGAGGTGTTAGTGGAGGAGGTGGAGGAGGAGGAGGTGGAGGAGGTGGAGGAGGAGGAGGAGGTGAGGAGGAGGTGGTGAGGAGGAGGAGGTGGAGGAGGAGGTGTTAGTGGAGAAGGTGGTGGAGGAGGAGGAGGTGGAGGAGGAGGAGTAGTAGGTGGAGGAGGAGGAGGTGAGGAGAGGTGTTAGTGGAGGAAGTGAGGAGGAGGTGTTAGTGGAGGAGGTGTAAGTGGAGGTGGAGGAGGAGGTGGAGGAGGAGGTGGAGGAGGTGAGGAGGAGGTGGAGGAGGTGGAGAAGAAGGGGGAGGAGGTGGAGGTGGAGGAGGTGGTGTAAGGGGTGTAATCGGAGGAGGTGGAGGATGAGGAGTTAAGAGGTGCATGTCTAATCGAGTGTTGACGTTATTTCACCAATATCTTTAAGGACGCTATTGCTGATAACAATTCGTCTACAAGTGCCAGGTGACGTGTCCTCCTCTGTCAACCAACACGATTGCAACTTGTATCGCACGTGGGTGCACGCACTTGCATCGTCGTCGTCATCATCAGGACCGTCTGCTGTCGGCGGCACTGCTTGGTAAGGACAGTCGCTAGCGCCGTGTGACTAGCGGCACCCCGGGATGGTGAAGACGCAGACGATGACGGACTTGAGCAGCCACGACGGAGGGCCCCCCTCTCATGGCGTGGTTCCCGGTGACTTCCCCTGCTGTGAACTTCCCCCTTTAGAGGTCCCCCGGTCATCTACACCGTGGCCTGCTGACGCGAGGACTCGCGTACAGCGCAGTTACCCTTCTCCGCCAGCAGCCGGCGCTATGCCCCTACAATAGCATCAACAGTAACAACAATAACATCAACAGTAACAACAATAGCATCAACAATAGCATCAACAGTAACAACAATAACATCAACAGTAACAACAATAGCATCAACAATAACAACAATAACATCAACAGTAACAACAATAGCATCAACAATAGCATCAACAATAGCATCAACAGTAACAACAATAACATCAACAGTAACAACAATAGCATCAACAATAACAACAATAACATCAACAGTAACAACAATAGCATCAACAATAGCATCAACAATAGCATCAACAATAGCATCAACAATAACATCAACAATAGCATCAACAACATCAACAATAACATCAACAATAGCATCAACAACATCAACAATAGCATCAACAACATCAATAACATCAACAACAACAATAACATCAACAATAGCATCAACAATAACATCAATAGCATCAACAATAACATCAACAATAACATCAACAATAGCATCAACAATAACATCAACAATAGCATCAACAATAACATCAACAGTAACCTTAAATTTGGAGCTTTCGTGACTGCAGGAATTACTCTTTGGTTATTTCGGTAAAGTCACGTATAAAGATAAAATAATAAATTAAATAATAGCATACGACGTTTCGATTGCAACACAAGCAATCATCATCAGGTATAAATGAAATAGCAACAGAAAATCTAACCAGAAAACTATAGACAGACACACAAGCAGACAGACATCACCAAGATACACAGAGCAACACAGGCACAGAGAGGGGGATCGTCTCCGTGGGGTGGCCACCCCACGGAGACGATCCCACACAGACACCCACAGAGACATAGACACCCACAGAGACCCGTAGACACCAGCAGACACGCACAGACACACACAGACACATAGACACCCACAGAGACACATAGACACCCACAGAGACCCGTTGACACCAGCAGACACGCACAGACACACACAGACACATAGACACCCACAGAGACACATAGACACCCACAGAGACCCGTTGACACCAGCAGACACGCACAGACACACACAGACACATAGACACCCACAGAGACACATAGACACCCACAGAGACCCGTAGACACCAGCAGACACGCACAGACACACACAGACACATAGACACCCACAGAGACATAGACACCCACAGAGACCCGTAGACACCAGCAGACACGCACAGACACACACAGACACATAGACACCCACAGAGACACATAGACACCCACAGAGACCCGTAGACACCAGCAGACACGCACAGACACACACAGACACATAGACACCCACAGAGACATAGACACCCACAGAGACCCGTAGACACCAGCAGACACGCACAGACACACACAGACACATAGACACCCACAGAGACATAGACACCCACAGAGACCCGTAGACACCAGCAGACACGTACAGACACACACAGACACATAGATACCCACAGAGACACATAGACACCCACAGAGACCCGTAGACACCAGCAGACACGCACAGACACACACAGAGACATAGACACCCACAGAGACCCGTAGACACCAGCAGACATGCACAGACACACACAGACACATAGACACCCACAGAGACATAGACACCCACAGAGACCCGTAGACACCAGCAGACACGCACAGACACACACAGACACATAGAGACCCACAGAGACACATAGACACCCACAGAGACCCGTAGACACCAGCAGACACGCACAGAGACCCATAGAGACACCCATAGATTATGGGTGTCTCTGTGGGCCTCTGTGCGTGTCTATGGGTTTATGTGAGTCTCTGTGCGTGTCTATTGGTCTCTATAGATCTTTGTAGGTCTCTGTGGGTGTCTATGGGTATCTTTGGGTCTCTGTGGGTGTCTATGGGTGTCTGTGGGTGTCTCTTTGATGACGATCAAGATGTCCCCCTCCTCAGAGGAGCTGATGTCATTTTTTTTTATCACTTCTGACAAAGAGCGTCAGAGTGGGGCTCGGTCAATACGAAAACAAAGTTTGAGTTTTAGTTTTTATATTTAGTTTAGTTTACTCTCTCTCCCATATCTCTCTCTTCCTGTGTCTCTCTCTCCCATGTCTCTCTCCCCGTGTCTCTCTCCCCGTGTCGCTCTCCCCGTGTCTCTCTCTCCCCGTGTCTCTCCCATGCAGCTGCTCCGCTCTCTGTGTGGGCCACGGGAGACACGGTGTCCGAGGGAGACACGGCCACTCTACGCTGCACCGTGTCAGACAATCCGGACTCAGACTCAATTCAGTGGAGCAACCCTCAAGGTCACACACTCTACTTCGAGAGCGTCAAGGGTGAGCGACAAGCGCTGTCTCTGTCTCTCTCTGTCTTTCTCTGTCTCTGTTTCTCTCTGTCTCTCTCTCTGTCTCTCTCTGTCTCTGTCTGTCTCTCTCTGTCTCTCTCTGTCTCTCTCTGTCTCTCTCTCTGTGTCTCCCTGTCTCCCCGTGTCTCAGCCCACATGGACCCACGTGTCTCTCTGTCTGTCTCTGTCTCTCTGCGTCTCTCTCTGTCTCTGTGTCTCTCTCTGTGTCTCTCTGTCTCTGTGTCTCCGTGTCTTAGCCCACACAGACCCGCGTGTCTCTCTGCTGCACTGGAGCTCCACCAGGCTGGACGTCACCATCTCGCGCGTCACCTCGCGGGACCAGGGGCTCTACAGCTGCTCCCTCTTCAGCCTGGGGACCCCCACGGCGTACGCGTCACTCACCGTCAGAGGTGAGCGACGCTCACCTCGCCACTCTTGTGTCTGTGTCGTTTTCGACAATGTACACTAAGAATGGCTCTCATCATTTTTTAGAATAAGTCTCCCCGTGTCTCTCTCTCTCTGACCGTGTCTATCTCACCGTGTCTCTGTATTTCACCATGTCTCCCCGTGTCTCACCGTGTCTCCCCGTGTCTCTCTCACCGTGTTTCCCCGTGTCTCTCTCACCGTGTCTCTCACCGTGTCTCTGTATTTCACCATGTCTCCCCGTGTCTCACCATGTCTCCCCGTGTCTCCCCGTGTCTCTCTCTCTCACCGGGTCTCCCCGTGACTCTCTATCTCACCACATCTCCCCGTATCTCCTCGTGTCTCTGTATCTCACCATGTCTCCCCGTGTATCCCCGTGACTCTGTATCTCACCATGTCTCACCGTGTCTCACCATGTCTCTACGTCTTCCCATGTCTCACCGTGTCTGTTTATCTCACCCCGTGTCTCCCTGTGTCTCCCCGTGTCTCTCTCTCTCCCCGTGTCTCTCTCCCCGTGTGTCTCTCTCCCCGTGTCTCTCTCCCCGTGTGTCTCTCTCCCCGTGTCTCTCTCCCCGTGTGTCTCTCTCCCCGTGTCTCTCTCCCCGTGTGTCTCTCTCCCCGTGTCTCTCTCCCCGTGTGTCTCTCTCCCTGTGTCTCTCTCCCTGTGTCTCTCTCCCCATGTCTCTCTCCCCGTGTGTCTCTCTCCCCGTGTCTCTCTCTCTCCCTGTGTCTCTCTCCCCGTGTGTCTTTCTCCCCGTGTGTCTCTCTCCCCGTGTCTCTCTCCCCGTGTCTCTCTCCCCGTGTCTCTCTCCCCGTGTGTCTCTCTCCCTGTGTCTGTCTCCCCGTGTCTCTCTCCCCATGTGTCTCTCTCCCCATGTCTCTCTCCCCGTGTCTCTCTCTCCCCGTGTCTCTCTCCCTGTGTGTCTCTCTCCCTGTGTCTCTCTCCCCGTGTCTCTCTCCCCGTGTCTCTCTCTTCCCGTGTCTCTCTCCCCGTGTCTCTCTCTCCCCGTGTCTCTCTCTCCCCGTGTGTCTCTCTCCCCGTGTCTCTCTCCCCGTGTCTCTCTCTCCCCGTGTCTCTCTCCCCGTGTGTCTCTCTCCCCGTGTCTCTCTCCCCGTGTCTCTCTCCCCATGTCTCTCCCCGTGTCTTTCTCCCCGTGTCTCTCTCCCTGTGTGTCTCTCTCTCCCTGTGTCTCTCCCCGTGTGTCTCTCTCCCCGTGTCTCTCCCCCCGTGTGTCTCTCTCCCCGTGTCTCTCTCCCCATGTGTCTCTCTCCCCGTGTCTCTCTCCCCGTGTCTCTCTCCCCGTGTCTCTCTTTTCCCGTGTCTCTCCCATGCAGCTGCTCCGCTCTTTGTGTGGGCCACGGGAGACACGGTGTCCGAGGGAGACACGGCCACTCTACGCTGCACCGTGTCAGACAATCCGGACTCAGACCCAATCCAGTGGAGCAACCCTCACGGTCACACACTCTACTTCGAGAGCGTCAAGGGTGAGCGCAAACACCATCTCTGTCTGTCTCTGTCTCTCTCTGTCTCTCTCTCTCTCTCTGTGTCTCCCTGTCTCCCCGTGTCTCAGCCCACATGGACCCGCGTGTCTCTCTGTCTGTCTGTGTCTCTCTGTGTCTCTCTCTCTGTGTCTCTCTGTCTGTGTCTCTCTGTGTTTCTCTCTCTGTGTCTCTCTCTCTCTCTGTGTCTCTCTGTCTCTGTGTCTCTCTCTGTGTCTCTCTCTCTCTCTGTGTCTCTCTGTCTCTGTGTCTCTCTCTGTGTCTCTCTGTCTCTGTGTCTCTCTGTCTCTGTGTCTCCGTGTCTCAGCCCTCATGGACCCGCGTGTCTCTCTGCTGCACTGGAGCTCCACCCGGCTGGACGTCACCATCTCGCGCGTCTCCACGCGGGACCAGGGGCTCTACAGCTGCTCCCTCTTCAGCCTGGGGACCCCCACTGCGTACGCGTCGCTCACCGTCAGAGGTGAGCGACGCTCACCTCGCCACTCTTGTATCCGTGTCGTTTTCGACAATGTACACTAAGAATGACTCTGATCATTTTTTTTTGAATAAGTTTGATCCGGATGCAGCGCGGGGGCTTGGACGGGGGTCACCCCTCACACCCCGCTGAACCCTTGCCTCACCACACACCGAGTCTCCCCGTGTCTCTCTCTCTCTCACCGTGTCTCTGTATTTCACCATGTCTCCCCGTGTCTCACCGTGTCTCCCCGTGTCTCTCTCTCTCACCGTGTCTCCCCGTTGCTCCCCATGTCTCCCCGTGTCTCTCTGTCTCACCGTGTCTCCCCGTGTCTCCCCGTGTCTCTCTCACCGTGTCTCTGTATCTCGCCATGTCTCACCGTGTCTCTCTCTCTCACCGTGTCTCCCCGTGTCTCCCCGTGTCTCCCCGTGTCTCTCTGTCTCACCGTGTCTCCCCGTGTCTCCCCGTGTCTCTCTCACCGTGTCTCTGTATCTCACCATGTCTCACCATGTCTCACCGTGTCTCACCATGTCTCTACGTCTTCCCATGTCTCACCGTGTCTGTTTATCTCACCCCGTGTCTAACCGTGTCTCCCCGTGTCTCTCTCTCACCATCTCTAACCGTGTCTCCCTGTGTCTGTGTAGACAGCACCACCACCATCACCGTTTCCAAAACCACCATCACCGCCGCTGCTGCTGATGATGATGATGGTGTGTGGGATGACTCTGTGCTGGATGGTGGTGCTGGTGTGGGTACTGGGTCTCTGCTGGTTGTTGCCATAGTCCCACCTCTCATCTTCTCCCTCGTCTGCCTCATTGTCCTGGCGAGATCATTCAAAGGGAGACGCAGGAGTGGGACACACGGAGACACACGTGGACTCACAGACACGCAGAGACACACAGAGATTCACGGAGACACACGGAGACACACAGAGATTCACGGAGACACACGGAGACACACAGAAACTCACGGAGACACGCAGAGACACACAGAGATTCACGGAGACACACGGAGACACACAGAAACTCACGGAGACACGCAGAGACACACAGAGATTCACGGAGACACACGGAGACTCACGGAAACACACGAGACACAGACACAGAGACAACAACAACCGCCATTCGCCACTAGGTGGCGGTGACATCACCACGGCGCTTGTGCCAGGCCATGTGCAGGTTGAGGCCACGTGAAGTGTCGAACGCCCGCTGGCAGGAGGTCACAGGGCAGACCCAGGTGCCACGGGTCGACTGACTGAGATGACTGGCTGATACACCATCTGTGCCCCCTACTGTGCCAACTTGCTGTGCTTTAGCCACCCGGCGCTCCGCTCGTTGTTGTGAGCGTCGCTCCTCTGCCCTCCGTTGTTGTTGGAGGGCGACTGCCTCCAACACGGAGACACACACAGAGACACACACAGACACACACACGGAGACACACACACTGAGACACACACAGAGACACACACGGAGACACACACAGAGACACACACGGAGACACACACGGAGACACACACACTGAGACACGTGGAGACACACGGAGACACATGGAGACACACACACAGAGACTCATGGAGACACACGGAGACACACGGAGACACACACAGAGACACACACAGAGACACACGGAGACACACACACTGAGACACGTGGAGACACACGGAGACACATGGAGACACACACACAGAGACTCATGGAGACACATGGAGACACACGGAGACACACAGAGACACACACGGAGACACACACACTGAGACACGTGGAGACACACGGAGACACGTGGAGACACACGGAGACACATGGAGACACACACACAGAGACTCATGGAGACACACAGAGACACACGGAGACACACACAGAGACACACACAGAGACACACACGGAGACACACACATAGAGACATACACACAGAGACACAGACTCACGAAGACACACAGAGACACAGAAATACAGAGACACACAGAGACACACACACAGAGACACACGAAGACACACACATAAATACGGAGACACACATAGATACACAGAGACACACAGACACAGACACTTACAGAGACTCACAGACACTCACGGAGACACATGGAGATAGACAGAGACACCAAGAGACACACATAGACACACGGAGACACGGTGAGACGTAGACATTCAGGTAAGAGACGCTGGGAGTTGGTGAGTGCCAACTGCCTGGAATCTACACACTGCCTTGCTCTGTGCTGTGTTGGTAATTGTAGTGTCTCTCTCTGTCTCTCTGTCTCTGTGCCTCCCTTCCTCTCTCTCCCCGTGTAGGCATCTATGTAATTACTGAGAGAAGGAGCGGAGAGAGTATCCCGGATTTGAAGAATGTTACCGAAGAGAGATACACGGGGAGACAGACACAGAATTAGAGACACGGGAAGAGAGACATGGGGAGATAGACACACGGGGAGAGAGACACGGGGAGAGAGACACACGGGGAGAGAGACACGGGGAGTGTGGCCATGATGCCAGACAAATAAAACATCAGCAGCGCGTTCTCAGTGTGTTTTTTTGGTACAGTGTATCGTGTAATGTGTACACTTTACACTACTCTATACACTACACTATACACTACACTACACACTACACTATACACTACTCTATACACTACACAGACAGACACACAGACACACAGACACACACAGACACATACAGACATAGACACAAACACAGACACAACAACAACCGCCATTCGCCACTAAGTGGCGGTGACGTCACCACGACGCTTGTGCCAGGCCATGTGCACCTTGAGGCCACGTGAAGTGTCGAACGCCCGCTGGCAGGTCACGGGGCAGACCCAGCAGGTGCCACGGGTCGGCTGACTGAGATGACCGAGATGACTGGCTGATGCACCGCCTGTGCCCCCTACTGTACCAACTTGCTGTGCTTTAGCCACCCGGCGCTCCGCTCGTTGTTGTGAGCGTCGCTCTTCCGCCCTCCGTTGTTGTTGGAGGGCGACTGCCTCCAACTGCCCAGTAGCGTCCTTCACGAGCCTCCTCCACTGAGGCAGACACACGTTTTAAAAGACACACACAGATGGACATAGACACATTTTAAAAGACAGACACACAGACAAAGACACGCTGGGACACAGACAACAACCGCCATTTGCCACTAATTTCCCGTCTCCCTGCTTTCGCAGCCACCACCAACATCACCACCAACACCCCCCCCCACCACCACCGTCACCTCCTCCAACCCGGGTCGCCAGGTTTATAGACCAGGGCGCTAACCGCTGCACCACCGCTCCCCACTAGCACAGACAGCAGCAGGCATCGTCAGGGTCGGGATCGAACCCACGACCCCCTGTAGACCAGGCGAGGTAGTCAACATCTCATAGCCACCGTGATGATGATGAGAGAGAGATCGAACCCACGACGTCCTGTAGACCAGGCGAGGTGGTCAACATCTCATAGCCACCGTGATGATGATGAGAGAGAGATCGAACCCACGACCTCCTGTAGACCAGGCGAGGTAGTCAATATCTCATAGCCACCGTGATAATGATGAGAGAGAGATCGAACCCACGACGTCCTGTAGACCAGTCGAGGTGGTCAACATCTCATAGCCACCGTGATGATGATGAGAGATCGAACCCACGACCTCCTGTAGACCAGGCGAGGTGGTCAACATCTCATAGCCACCGTGATAATGATGAGAGAGAGATCGAACCCACGACCTCCTGTAGACCAGGCGAGGTGGTCAACATCTCATAGCCACCGTGATGATGATGAGAGAGAGATCGAACCCACGACCTCCTGTAGACCAGGCGAGGTGGTCAACATCTCATAGCCACCGTGATGATGGTGAGAGAGAGATCGAACCCACGACCTCCTGTAGACCAGGCGAGGTAGTCAACATCTCATAGCCACCGTGATGATGATGAGAGAGAGATCGAACCCACGACCTCCTGTAGACCAGGCGAGGTGGTCAACATCTCATAGCCACCGTGATGATGATGAGAGAGAGATCGAACCCACGACCTCCTGTAGACCAGGCGAGGTAGTCAACATCTCATAGCCACCGTGATGATGATGAGAGAGAGATCGAACCCACGACCCCCTGTAGACCAGGCGAGGTGGTCAACATCTCATCGCCACAGTGATGATGATGAGAGAGAGATCGAACCCACGACCTCCTGTAGACCAGGCGAGGTAGTCAACATCTCATAGCCACCGTGATGATGATGAGAGAGAGATCGAACCCACGACCTCCTGTAGACCAGGCGAGGTGGTCAACATCTCATAGCCACACGGAGCCAGCGGAACGGATAATGTAATCGATGATAATCGATCATCAGAGAGCGGGAGACACGCAAAACGATGATTATAATCGATGGTAATCGATTAGCAGAGAGAGACGCGCAAACCAACGATTAGAATCGATGAGAATCGAACAAACGATTCACGGTGACGTCATAACCCGGACACCATCGCCAAGTTCAAGATGGCGGCACCCAGGTTGGAGGTTGTTGTTGTGGTGGTTGTTGTGGTGGTGGTTGTTGTGGTGGTGGTTTTTGTGGTGGTTGTTGTTGTGGTGGTGGTTGTAGTGGTGGTGGTTGTAGTGGTGGTTGTTGTTGTGGTGGTTGTTGTTGTGGTGGTGGTTGTGGTGGTTGTAGTGGTGGTGTTTGTGGTGGTGGTGGTTGTGGTGGTGGTGGTTGTGGTGGTGGTTGTTGTGGTGGTGGTAGTTGTGGTGGTGGTTCTTGTTGTGGTGGTTGTTGTTTGTGTGGTGGTGGTTGTTGTGGTGATGGTTGTGGTGGTGGTTGTGGTGGTGGTAGTGGTGGTTGTTGTGGTGGTGGTTGTAGTGGTGGTTGTAGTTGTGGTTGTGGTGGTTGTAGTGGTGGTGGTGGTTGTTGTGGCGGTGGTTGTAGTGGTTGTGGTGGTGGTGGTTGTTGTGGTGGTTGTTGTGGTGGTTGTTGTGGTGGTTGTTGTGGTGGTTGTAGTGGTGGTGGTGGTTGTGGTGGTGGTTGTTGTTGTGGTGGTGGTTGTGGTGGTTGTGGTGGTGGTGGTTGTAGTGGTGGTGGTTGTCGTGGTGGTTGTTGTGGTGGTTGTTGTAGTGGTGGTTGTTGTGGTGGTTGTTGTAGTGGTGGTTGTTGTGGTGGTTGTAGTGGTGGTGGTTGTTGTGGTGGTGGTTGTTGTGGTGGTGGTTGTTGTGGTGGTTGTGGTGGTGGTTGTTGTGGTGGTTGTGGTGGTTGTGGTGGTGGTTGTTGTGGTGGTTGTTTGTGTGGTGGTGGTTATTGTGGTGGTGGTGGTTGTTGTGGTGGTTGTGGTGGTGGTTGTTGTTGTTTGTGTGGTGGTGGTTGTTGTGGTGATGGTTGTTTGTGTGGTGGTGGTTGTTGTTGTTGTTGTGGTTGTTGTTTGTGTGGTGGTGGTGGTTGTTGTTTGTGTGGTGGTGGTTGTTGTTGTGGTGGTGGTTGTTGGGTTTAACCAGGCTGGATTGTGTGAGGAGCTCACAATTCCTTGAAAGATCTGGGCAAAGTCCCATCGGTGAGCTCCTCCGGCAGGCAAGGCTGCGTTGGCTGGGTCATGTAGCCCGCATGCCCAGCCACCGCATGCCTAAACAGCTTTTGTTCGGCCTTATTGAGGGGGCTAAACGGGCGCGGCACGGGCTAGAGAAGAGATGGAGTGATGTGGTACAGGAGGACGTGGAGCTGAGTGGACTTGCCGATGACTGATACCAGCGGTGTCAGGATCGGCCTCTGTGGAGGAGGCTCGTGAAGGACGCTACTGGGCAGTTGGAGGCAGTCGCCCTAACAACAACGGAGGTTGGAGGAGCGACGCTCACAACAACGAGCGGAGCGCCGGGTAGCTAAAGCACAGCAAGTTGGTACAGTAGGGGGCACAGGTGGTGCATCAGCCAGTCATCTCGGTCATCTCGGTCAGTCGACCCGTGGCACCTGCTGGGTCTGCCCCGTGACCTCCTGCCAGCGGGCGTTCGACACTTCACGTGGCCTCAAGGTGCACGTGGCCTGGCACAAGCGTCGTGGTGACATCACCGCCACTTAGTGGCGAATGGCGGTTGCTGTTGTTGTAATGTGTGTGTGTCTGTGTGTAATGTCTACACACACACACGCTCACCTCTCCCCCACTCCCCCCCTCCCAGGCCGAAGGACTTTGTCACCACCATGGCCACCGCGGCGCTCCTGTCTGACGCTCCACGCCCTGCCCCTGCTGCTGCCCCTGCTGCTGCTGCTGCTGCCCCTGCTGCTGCTGCCCCTGCTGCTGCTGCCCCTGCTGCTGCTGCCCCTGCTGCTGCTGCCCCTGCTGCCCCTGCTGCTGCCCCTGCTGCTGCTGTCCCTGCTGCTGCTGCCCCTGCTGCTGCCCCTGCTGCCCCTGCTGCTGCCCCTGCTGCTGTCTCTGCTGCTGCCCCTGCTGCTGCCCCTCCTGCTGCCCCTGCTGCTGCCCCTGCTGCTGCCCCTGCTGCTGTCCCTCCTGCTGCTGCCCCTGCTGCTGTCCCTCCTGCTGCTGCCCCTGCTGCTGCTGCCCCTGCTGCTGCCCCTGCTGCTGCTGCCCCTGCTGCTGCTGCTGCCCCTGCTGCTGCTGCTGCCCCTGCTGCTGCTGCCCCTGCTGCTGCTGCCCCTGCTGCTGCTGGTGGTGTTGTCGGTGGTGGCGATGGTGGTGATGTTGCCGGTGGTGGCGGTGATTGCGAGCAACCTGAGGAGTTGGCGGTGGTGTGGGCGGCTGGGAAGCTGCGCTCAATATTCACGCTGCTCGTTGAGTGTGAGGAGGACGACCATGTGAGACCACGGGTGGGGCGCACGGGGGGACAAGGATATGTGTCTGTGTGTGTGTAGGTCGACTCAGCCTCAAATGTGCAAACATCGCTGCTAGGGCGACAAAGGGCGCGGTATTGGCCTTCGACCCCCTCGTGTGACGTGCCGGCCTTTACAGGTGCTACTCGCTAACAGCACTTGCTCATACAGTCTGTGAAGGCTATACGGGAGATTTTTGTGCACGGCACGGGCTAGAGAAGAGATGGAGTGATGTGGTACCGGAGGACGTGGAGCTGAGTGGACTTGCCGATGACTGGTACCAGCGGTGTCAAGATCGGCCTCTGTGGAGGAGGCTCGTGAAGGACGCTACTGGGCAGTTGGAGGCAGTCGCCCTCCAACAACAACGGAGGGCGGAGGAGCGACGCTCGCAACAACGAGCGGAGCGCCGGGTGGCTAAAGCACAGCAAGTTGGTTCAGTAGGGGGCACAGGTGGTGCATCAGCTAGTCATCTCGGTCATCTCAGTCAGTTGACCCGTGGCACCTGGGTTTGCCCCTTGACCTCCTGCCAGTGGGCGTTTTTGACACTTCACGTGGCCTCAAGGTGCACATGGCCTGGCGAATGGCAGTTGTTGTTGTTTGTGTATCTCCTCACCTCCCCGTGCCCCTACAGGTGCTTGCGTCTGCATGCGAGGTGTTGC